TCCAGAAAGCTCTGGCTCACCCTCCGATGCTGCAATCGACATCCGATTGTCAGGGGAAGCCTCGGAAGAAACAGGTGGTACCCCCCGGAAGGGTCCAGCCCTCTCTTCCTGAGAGCTCCGCTGGTTTCGAAGTGCCGGCGGGCTTGGGATTTCGTCGGTCCTCCGACGTGACGTCGAGAGTGACCAACTGAAAGGGAACTCAGAATTGCTAGATTTAAACTCAATCTCAAAATTACACACAAAAAAACAGAATTGCGAGATATAAACTCAATCTCAAAATTACAAGAAAAAACATAGAATTGCGAGATATAAACAAACTCAGAATTGCGAGATTTAAACTCAATCTCAAAATTACAAGAAAAAACATAGAATTGCGAGATATAAACAAACTCAGAATTGCGAGATTTAAACTCAATCTCAAAATTACAAGAAAAAACATAGAATTGCGAGATATAAACAAACTCAGAATTGCGAGATTTAAACTCAATCTCAAAATTACAAGAAAAAACAGAATTGCGACATAAACTCAGAATTGCAAGATTTAAACTCAATCTTAAAATTACAAGAAAATACATAGAATTGCGAGACATAAACAAACTCAGAATTGCGAGATTTAAACTCAATCTCAAAATTACAAGAAAAAACAATTGCGAGATATAAAGAAACTCAGAATTGCGAGATTTAAACTCAATCTCAAAATTACAAGAAAAAACAATTGCGAGATATAAAGAAACTCAGAATTGCGAGATTTAAACTCAATCTCAAAATTACAAGAAAAAACGGAATTGCGACATAAATAAACTCAGAATTGCAAGATTTAAACTCAATCTCAAAATTACAAGAAAAAACATAGAATTGCGAGATATAAACAAACTCAGAATTGCGAGATTTCAACTCAATCTCAAAATTACAAGAAAAAACAGAATTGCGAGATATAAACAAACTCAGAATTGAGTGTAATACAGTGTAATTATACATTTAAGTACTAAAATATAATATAATCAGATTAAAACATTTATATTTACTAAATTTACATACACATTTTAACCTGTTTAACTGTATACATTTTTCCAGTGTCCAGTAATTTAATTCATTTTTATTCCAAATTCAATTGAAATAAAATAATAACATATTCTTTTAGTATTTTATAATAGTGTGTGTGTGTATATAACACATTAAGGGTATCAGTCAGTGCTGTTTTAGTATATTTATATACTGTTATAGTATTTATTCATATTTTCAATTTGCTTTTATTTTTTTATACTTTTTAGTTTTCATTTTAATTTTAGTTTACGTTTTAATTTTTTTAATTTTTATAATTTTTCTGTTTACTTCTGCTTTAATTTATTTCTAATTCAGTTTTAGTAATTGTAGTACTTATTTTTTTATTTTAGTTTAAGTTTTAGTAATCTTATGTGCTTTTGTTATTTTTATAATTTCTTTGTTTATTTCTGCTTTCATTTATTTTTATTTCAGTTTTAGTAACTGTAGTACTTATTTTATTTTATTGATTTTTAAACAAATCTGAATGAACCACTTCACTGCGATGCATGAAGCCATTGTTTTTTTAAAAGAGAGAGATATTTTTATCACTGTTTGCTGCTCAACAGACTGAGTTTAATGATTGAGTTATTTACATTACACAAATGAGCTTGTTAGTGAAACAGCTGTTCTGTTTCGAAACCAGCTGATCTACAGTCACACTACTGTAATGTATAGTTATGTTGGGTTTGTAGCGTCACCAGTGTTGGGGAAAGTTACTTTTAAAAGTAATGCATTACAATATTGCGTTACTCCCTAAAAAAGTAACTAATTACGTTACCTAGTTACTTTTTATGGAAAGTAATGCGTTACGTTACTTTTTAAATCTGGGCAGGGCTTGCTTGTTTGTTTTTAATATAAAAAAGTTCTTATTTTACAAATGTAAAAGCCCTTTTCACAACAGAAGTGAAATGAATACGCCTCAGGCTGAAGGAAATGAAAATTCACGCCTGTACAGTAGAGGGCGCAGCTCAAACAAATTGCATGAAGAATATGACGCAGGAGAAGAAAGTTCAACACTATTCAGCAATAACAAAAATTACACAAATGTGTCATTTTTGCTTATTAGTATGGTTGAATATTAGATTAGATCATCAAAGGTCAGTAGCAAAGACATTGGTTAATAAAATGGGATTAAATACATAAATGATATTTGTCTTATTTAACATATTTAATTATTGCAGGTTTATATAATATTCTGAGTTTGCATTTGACTGTTTTTGTTCATTTTGAGGAATACTGAATCTGTTTTTGTGCAGTGAGAAGACTAGATGTTCATATTTAGTCTAGAACTACAGTAACATCACAGCGCACACAACGCCTCGGCACTTACTCCCCATTTCTCTCACCATGGCAACACGAGAGCTGTCAGTCAAGACATGGGAAACAAAGTAACTAGCGTTACTTATTTGAAAAAGTTTAAAAAGTAATGCGTTACTTTACTAGTTACTTGAAAAAAGTAATCTGATTACATAACTTGCGTTATTTGTAATGAGTTACCCCCAACACTGAGCATCACTAGTTTTGGTTAGTTGTGTCTGAGAGAGACTGAGAGCCGCTGGAGCAGTTTTCGGTAACACTTTACTTGAAGGGGTGTGCATAAGACTGACATGACACCTTCATAATCATGATATGACACATGTCATGAATATGAACGAGGTTTTGTGCATGTTTATGACAACTGTCATTAAGTGTAAATCGTTCAGTTATGTCATTTTTAATGCAAATATGACATTATTTGACCTAACCCTACCACTACCCTTACCCCTAACCATAGCCCATAACAAAGACATCTCAAACAATGTCATCTTTGCATTAAAAATGACATAACTGAGCGAATGACACTTAATGACAGTTGTCATAAACATGCATAAAAAAACTTCATATTCATGACGTGTGTCGTGTCATGATTATGTAGGTGTCGTGTCAGTCTTATGCACACCCCTTCAAGTAAAGTGTAACCCAGTTTTCCACACATCAGTCACTCCTAATGTAATCAAGTCGCATCTAATCGAATGCAGCCGATCCCACTTCCACTGCATTTACACACTTAATATGAATGAATGACGGGAAGCAGCTCAGTGCTCCACATCACAGCTAATCACATTCTGTGTGTCTGTACGTGAACACAATCACTGCAAACACTCTTTCTGCTTCATAAAGCTTCTGGAAAACATTTATATTCTACATACTTTACATACAGTTTATATTCATGACGATTTCATATATATAATTACCTTCTCCAGTAATATATTGCAAATAAAATAGTTTTGAAATAAATAACAATTACATCATGTTTTATGTATTTTACAATTTTCCTAAATTTCCTTTTTTTAATTTTTTATAAATAAATTACAATATTTTTTCATGATGATAATTGGATAACACTCATTGACTTAAACATGCAACATAGTTGTATTTTTTTCCCTTTATTTTACTTTTTGCATGAAACATTCTTTGGTGTCCGTGTTGTTTTTTTTTAAATGATTCTCACACTTTTATGTCATTTCAGAACAAATACATATATATATATATATACACACATATCATGTCAATTATAAATTATTATTACATATCATGTATCATATATATATATATACTGTATATAGCCAAAAGGCAGAAAAATGTTGACATTTATTTTCTTTATTTATAACATTTTATTATAATTACATAATATAATATAATAATTATATAAATTAAACAAATTTAAAAATAATTACATAATATTTTACAATATTTTCCTAGATTTTTTTTCTCATAATCTTCTGAATGTGTTATAATTTTTTTTAGATTAATTGTATTAATTCATAATATTTTAAAATATTAATGAATATATAAGACTATTAATTAACTAATATTCCAACCCATCCATAATCTTAGACTGCCATTTGACATCAAGATTTTGATGGTTTAAATGTCCATGTTGTTGTGATTGTCACGAATCCGGTCCATGAACTTTCCAATTCATTGACTCTCGCACTACACACTGTTGCACATCACCCCGGACTACATTTCCCATCATGCATTGCACTGATTGCACTCAGCACGAATTGCACACACCTGTTTACACTGATGATATTGCTAGTAATTATCAGATGCATTTATGAAAGTCCTTTTAATATAAAAGCATGCATTTACAAAGTCAAAGAGTTTTAATTAGTTAAATAACCTTTTAATAAAAGCGTCTGATAATTGCCTGAGCTGCTGATCATATTAACACACACATCTTAACATTTAATAAGATTGTGCCTGAGTTGCATATTTTAAATTGTTAAAGTAGCAACGCAAAGGAAATGTAGATGTTATGTATATTTTAAAATGGTTTTATTAAATGCAAGTAGATCTTGACCTGTAATATCACAATGTACAAGCAGTTTAACTGCAGTAACGTCAGAGAAGAGACGAGAGAATCTGCCATCATGCATAAAAATACAATCTGCTTCTAATTAGCCTGTGATTAGCCCACTGTGTGTGTGTGTGTGTGTGTGTGTGTGTGTTGGTCTGTAATGTAAACGCAGTCAGAAAACACCTCATGTCAAGAGAAACAGCTCATTCAAACTCACACTCAATGACAGCAAACGACAGAGCAGCCAAAACGGAGTGAAAAATGACTGAACGTAACCATAACGTATGTTATAAGTATGAGATTTTAGTGCTTGACCCCCTTGGATGCCACACCCATTCCGGTCTCATTTGCATATAAGCCACACCCCTCTGCTGTGTGGCCCCGCCCCTCTCACCTTCTGTTTCCGCCTCTCTTTCCTCTTGTCTTCTGTGTCCTGCAGCATCTTCTCTCTCCACAGATCGAAGAAGTACGACGGGTTGGTGTAGAACTTCAGCCCTTCCTTCCCATCATCCCTAGAGACAGACGCAGATCAGGTGTGTTCAGTGATGCCGTACTACACACCGTTCGTCAGTGAGAGCAGTATGCCGTATGTGTAGTGTACACAGAGTTATCTGCATGTATGAATGCTACATTCGCAGAAACGTGCGGCACAGAGAACAGTAATGGAGTGCTGAATCCCATAATGCAATGCACTTGGCTTGTAATATCAGATCATTTTAAATATCTCCTCTTTGACTTAGTTGATTGGACTGTCAAAATGCATGCGATTTTTATACTAAATTAAATTGAAATAAAAATAATGGCATAATGTGCTTTAATATTATTAATATTTTATATAATAATATACATGTATATTTCATGATGATAATTGGACTGTCAAAATGCATGCCATTTTATAAAAAATTTTATTAAAATAAATATATAATTACATAATATTTTATATATTGTATTTAATTTTTTTTATTTTAAATAATAATATACATTTATTTTATATCATAATATTTTTCATGATGATAATTTGACTGTAAAATGTGTCATTTTTTACGAAATTTAATTGAAATAAAAAATTATTACATACTATTTAATAGATGTTATATTATTTGTATTGTGAATAATAATATACATACAGTATTTTTTAAATATATTTTAGATGATAATATTTTTTTATTTGACAAAATGTGTCATTTTATACAAAATTTAAATGAACAAAATAATTACACAATATGTCATATAGTTGATCATATTATTTGTATCTTATATAATAATATACATATGTTTTTATATATTTTATATAATATTTTTATGATGATAATTGGACTGTCAAAACATCATTTTGTACAAAATTTTACTGAAATAAAATATTAACATTTATATATATATAAATATTTTTGACTTGAATAAAATGCAATTGTTATGTAAACAGTTACATGAAGAGTTAAATGTATGGAAGCATATGGGTAGCAAAATTCATTTTGAAATGTAATATGCAAAATGACCATGCATTTCTTTATTTAAATTGACATGTTCCCATACAAATGTGCAACATTTAGTGCAAAATGAAAATTTAATTATATAATTTACATTTGCCATTTTCTACACTAGTTTTAATATGTAAATTAAAAACATATTTTAATGCTTTATAAGTTGCAAAATTAAAAAGAAATTGTATTACACAAATTGATTAGATGTTTAAAATGTCCAAGCAAAAACTGTAGCAAAATTATAATTTAAATGCCATTTTTCCTAAATGCATTTAGACTTACAGGTAGGACACTTGGGATTGCATTGTCATCGTGATACCGCGTGATAATTGTAGCAAAATGCAGTGTGAATTCGACAATAGGTCATGTTAAAATGTTTTTAATTTACATATTAAAAAGTAGGAAATGGCAAATCTAAATTATATAATTGAATTTTCATTTTGCACTAAACGTTGCACATATGTATGGGAACATGTCAATTTAAATAAAGAAATGCATTGCCATTTTGCAAATTACATTTCAAAATGAATTTTGATACCGATATGCTTCCATATTAAATGAGATTTTCAGGTTGTCATTTTTTTCAGAACCGTCAGTGAAACACTCAAGTTCATCGCTGTCTGATTACAGTTCATGTTATTTGTGAGCCTGCAGCACAAAAGCAGTGTTAAGTCGCTGGGGCATATTTGTAGCAATAGCCAACAATACATTGTATGGGTCACAATTATTGATTTTTCTTTTATGCCAAAAATCATTAGGACATTAAGTAAAGATCATGTTCCATGAAGATATTTTGTAAATTTCCTACCGTAAATACATCAAAACTTAATTTTTGATTAGTGACATGCATTGCTAAGAACTTAATTTGGACAACTTTAAAGACGATTTTCTCAATATTTAGATTTTTTTGCACCCTCAGATTCCAGATTTTCAAATAATTGTGTCTCAGCCAAATATTGTCCTATCCTAACAAACCATCAATGGAAAGATTATTTATTCAGCTTTCAGATGATGCATAAATCTCAATTTCGAAAAACTGACCCTTATGACTGGTTTTGTGCCTCAGGGTTACATTTTAGTAATACTGAGGTCAGATGTAAACATCTCCGGTGTGATGATCTGTCGGGTCTGATGTGTGAATGTGGTTCTGACCTGTAGGGTGTGAGGATGTTCAGCGGCGGAGGTTGTTCGCACAGCTCGTATGTCTCCTGCATGGGGACGGGAAGAGACTGACGCTCAAACAGCTGCTGGTCCTGGATGGTGGAGCTGCGGAAGGCCTTCCTCATGGTGATGTCCTGAAGAGACACTGAGACACAAACACACAGCATTCACTGGCTGACATCTGCCTTTCTACAGGTGAGGCTTTACATTTTCTTGAAACACTTACCAGACTGACACATGTACATACCGTGTCAGTAACAACACTTACAATGTACAAAAAAGAAAATGAAACAAACAAACACTAGGGGCTCATTTTACATGAAAAGTGTCTTAGTACAAACCAACATTGGGTTAATACGGTATGTAGTTTGGAAGTTAGATTTAATAATCCATTGCAAAACAATAACAACCACAGCTTTAAGGGGTTAATATAACCCACGTTAAAATATATTTTAATACCTAATCAAGAATTTTGATCCTCCTCTATTATATTGTTAATATCCTTACATTCAATAAATAATCAAAAACGACTCCAGATTTTCTTAATTTAGCTTTTTTACCCTTAAGAATATAGGTTATCTTTTTCATTGCAATGCATGAAGATATTTCTCTTAACCGACGAGTTATGGTAGGCCTTTGTCTTTTTCCAATAAATGGCAATGAGCCTTTCGGCATGTAAAATGCACATGTCTATCAATACTTGATTATCATTTTTAATATTCCAGTTATCTGGATGAATGCCAAGAATGAAAAAACCCCAAGATCTAATGAGTCTGACTGAATTAAAGGGATATATCCTATCAGTGTTGGGAAGGTTACAGATTACAAGTTACCCTGTTTAAAATGTAATAAGTAGTGTAACTATATCAATTACTTTATTAAAGTCATGTAACTGATCATATTTGATTACTTTGCAAAATTTCGAACAAATGTTTTCAACTGATAATCATTTTGAAACATTTAAAGCAGGCAGCGTTAATCTTACAGTAGTGATCAACACTGATTACTCTCAGACTTTCAAAAGCCTTCATCACTTGAATTAAGATTGGGGTTAGTACCATTTTTTTTTAAATGTGGCCCATAATAACTAAAAGACCTGTATATTGTTTATACAAACTTCACAGAAAATGGTGCAAATGTACATCAGGACAGTCTGAGTAAACCTGCCAAATCTCATTAATTTACAGCAATAGAGGCTGCAAGCACGACAAAATTTAATTTAAAATGTACTTTAAAGGCTTTTAATTTGACATTATTACAAAACACATTTGTAAAAATCTGTTAAGTACACTTAAGTTGCCTTTTATTTGATTAATATTATTGCAAGTAGTTTAGACTTTTAAGATTTGAAGTAGAATACTAAGTGCACACATTCAGTACAATTAAGTGCACTTTTTAACAAGGGTAAAAGATAGCCAACCTAAAAGTCAAACTAAATATTATATGAGCTTTTTATTTTCTATTTGTTTTGCATGAGTTTTGCAACCATGTTACCAAAATATGTGTGTCTGAATACAAATTCCAGACAGATTTGTTCATTATTTTCATTCAATAAAATAATTTCAAATGTATATTTCAAAATGATCAGGTTTGCCGATTTAGCCTAAAAGAAGACGTTTAAGTGAGTCTTGATGTGGATGTAGGCTTGAGAAGAGAAGTGAATTTTTGAATGACATTTTTATTGTATTTTTATCTGTTTTGCAGTTTGAAAGACATGATCCGTGTGAACAGAGTCATAAGGCACGAGCTGCATAACATCTCAAGATTTGCTCCTTTTGTGTTCCTCAGATGAATAAGCTTCACGTGGGTTCGAAGCGACACAAAGGTGAGTAAATGATGGCGGCTTTTATAGGAAAATCTTTACATGCTGTCGATATCTGCAGAGAACGGAGCGATGCGGATGAATGAAGACTCTTGCAGAGCTTTTATAGCCGTGGCTCCTTTCATACTGACGTGTTTCTAAAGGAAAGAGCCGTGAATCCAAACCCTCTCAATGAACTCAATGTGTGTGTGTGTTTATTAGCAGCTCTTCATCAATATCATCTGTGAGCAGAAACAGCAACATCTTTTTGAATCTGTTTTCAGCGATTTCTCTCTTTGAAATCTTCTCCAGTCCTTCAGCTTTTCTCAAAGTCAAATAATTCAGTCAGTGTTGTTTACATATGTTTAAATATTCAGATTCATGTAAAATGGCATGTTTCATGAACACATCTGACAGGAACAAATCACCGAATTGATTTTAACGGTTCATTGAAATGGACACTAAAAACGAGTCACAGAAATGTATTAAAAATATTCCATTGCATGCATAAACTTTCAGTTATCTCATAAACTTGTGTTTATTTTATTATGGCAACATTTCTCGTTTTTAAAATGATACCGATATTAAAAACGAATTAAATGATACTATAAATGATGAACTACAATTAAAGTGAAAACAGAAAATATAAACATTAAATCTAATTTAAAATAATAATAAAAACTATAATAGTATATATATCAATGATAATAAAATAATACTGATTCATATCAGGTTATTATAATTTTTCAATTAAATTTACTTGTTTGCCTAATTTTAAAATATGTAATAAAAAATGTGTGATAGTGTGTGTGTGTATATATATATATATATATATATATATATATATATATATATATATATATATATATATATATATATATATAAGAATATAAGAACTTTGCAGTTTTATTTTAGCTAAATGTTCAGTATTCTAGTTTGACTGTAGTTGAACTACTTAAATTATGAACAGCTTAAAGTAGCTTTCCCAACACTGGTATAAACGATGACGATAGAAACACTGATGAAAGAGCGAAAGCGAATCTCAGGACTTACTGTCCAGCTCGTATTGGGTAAGTGAGGATTCGGTCAGGTTCCTCATGCTGTAGGGGGCTGAAGACGGTAGGGCAGAGGGGAGAGGAGGAAAGATAACCCGAGTAAATACAAAATGCAGTTTTGAAATAATGGTTTTATTTATTAAGGGAAAAAAGCTGTCCAAACCGGCCTGGCACTACGTGAAAAAGTAATATTAAAAGTAATATATTATATATATATATAGTAAAACAAAAATTGAAAGTTACAAATAAAACGCTTTGTTGTAAACAGTGTTAATTTCGTCAATGACATTTTTTTCACTAACGACAACGAGATGATAACGAACTAAAACTCTTTTTGAATGACAAAAGCTATGATGTAAATCTATTGACATTTTCGTCAACGAATAAAAACGAGACGAAAATGTTAGGGAGGGACACTCAATTCGGTCCAGTTTTCTGAGCGCACACACTGAAGCACACACACACAGAAAGCGCCTCTCACAGCGCGCAAGTACTCTCTCGAGTCGCATGAACGGAGAATTACACAAAATGATGTCGAATTGTCAGTTTTGACGAGTATTCACGTAAACACAGTTGATTACGTCTTAAGTGAACGTAAACAGCAGGGAGAACGTGTATCAGTACATTGCATCCATTGCAGCGGCGCATTCAGTTTTAAAGGGACAGCAGCCTAATTTAGTTGCTATTGTCCGAGTCATTGATGTTAATCAAGCAACAAAAGAAAGACTTGACTGAAAAACTTTAGTAGCCCTAAAGATTAATCTACATTTATTTATAGAAATAAATATCTCTGCTTGAAAGAATGAAGAATATGGTAAACAAGTTGCTATAAAGAATGCATAACCATTGGTATTTCATTAAAAAGAAGACCATGTTCTTGTTCTTTATGAGAAGTGGTTTTATTTCATTTTAACATAAAATTAAACATGTTGTGTGTCACCGCAGTTAAATCGTTGTCTGACATGATAAAACCTTACTATCAAACCTATATAATGAGTTTGGAAATTTTAGAGAAATGCTTAATAAATGCACTGTAACTAAACCCATTCGATTTTAGCTGACTAAATTTACTGTAGATTTAGTCGACTAAAACCTTATGATATTTAGTCAATTCAATTAAAAACAATTCAATGACTAAAATATGACTAAAACTTAATAGCATTTTAGTCAAAAGACTATGACTAAAACTAAATCTAAATTTGCTGTCAAAATGAACACTGGTAGTAAATAAAAGATTTAGTCTTTTTCGTTTTCTACTTCAAAATTTAATAATTTCACCTATAACAATGTTTTCTTGCCATTCCTTGAATACACACACACACACACACATACAGTGGGGAAAAAAAGTATTTAGTCAGCCACCAATTGTGCAAGTTCTCCCACTTAAAAAGATGAGAGAGGCCTGTAATTTTCATCATAGGTATACCTCAACTATGAGAGACAAAATGAGAAAAAAGTTGAGATATACCTATGATGAAAATTACAGGCCTCTCTCATCTTTTTAAGTGGGAGAACTTGCACAATTGGTGGCTGACTAAATACTTTTTTGCCCCACTGTATATATGTATATTTACATTTATGCATTAAGCAGATCCTTTTATCCAAAGAGCCCTTTTTTGTCAAATGGATTTGCAACACTTACTGTAAAACAACCCACAAACTAACAGCATTTTTTAGATGATTCTGACGTGTTGGATGACCACTAGAAACATTACCCGTCCAGATGAATTATGGGTCATAATGAGCCTCAGTTTGACCACAGACCAGCAGAGACAGAGGATCTGCAGTTAATTCAGATCAGATGCTCTACATAAAGTGTGAAACATTTACAGCATGAATTGTGTTCATATGTGCATCTGTTTGTTCCTCAGTGTTGACGCTTCATTAATTATGACGCGAGTGAGCATCCGATTTCAATGAACGGAGGCATCCAGTTCATCACAACACTTGCAGAGCAGAAACAAATGTATTGAAGGTCTTTTATTTATCATTTATCTCGACATGAGCCTCATTCACTCGCACTCATGGTGCTTATAGCTTTGTGTTCCCCGCTGCACATGTTGGACATTTGGCTGAAATAATGTTGAAACAGCATTTAATGCCACATGGTTGTAAATGGGCAAACAGAATCAACATTAAATCAACATTAACATTTTAATTTACGCATTACATTGAAACAACATTGCAAATTCAAAGTTGACTTGCCCAACTGTAACAAAATTCAACAGTGATATAAAGTGTTATTTTAGAATTAAGAGACTGTTATAGATTTGTATTAATAGCTTGAAT